GAACGCGGCGGAGGCTATGCTTCTGTGACATATACTATTTCGGGTCAATTATGAGCATATAGTTGCTCAACATAAAGCAAGACGGCAGGAGTTTCAAATTGAATTATTCCATGAATCCTACGCCGCGTCCAAATGAAGGGCGCAGCCACGACTACCGCGTATCAGGGATACGTAGTGTACCTACCTCTATGTGGTCATTCTGTTCCCTAAAATGTAACAAATGAGAGCATCGAAGTGGAGCTGTTGGCTGCATCACCACAAAAATACAGATGTAATTGAAGAAGATTTGCAGGAGAACGGATAATGCATTTGATCAATCAGCATTTGCCGCACGTTCGCCGCCCACTCAAAAATGTGCAGACATTTGGGCGTTTATTGAATTGCACAAGCACTTGTGGTGACAGTGAACGTCCAGGTCCCAGTCTTTAGGCTCTGGAACGTGTTCGTTAGCGGGAAAGTGAGGCAGAAGAGTTCGAAGGCTTGTTTTCCCCAGACGGGACAATCTCTCAGGAAGCGTGAAGCGCGAAGCCGCGGATTTAGTCCAGAAAGACCCTTTAATTATAAAATAACACATGCACTCAGAAAAATGTCGAAACGCCTCAAACAAAAACCAGACACATATTTTGAGATAATTTACGCGGGAGAGATATAGTAATAGAAAGGTCGGAACAGAGTAGCGAGATATACAGCAGCGAACAGACGAACCGCACAGGCCTTGCTGGAAAAGGGACCTCGTATTGTACTCTCCCTGGCGCCTAGTAATAGAAAGGAATACTTTCTTTCCCAAATATCATACCTGGTGGCGTTCTTATCGAACAGGTGTATTGTTGAGCAACGGCCTGCGCTGAGCGTCTCTGCGTCTCTGCTCACCACGCACATCTAACGCTGGAAGTGAATCGACTGTGATTTGGGGCGCTCTCCGGTTGCTGCTTCTTTCTTCGACAAGTTCAGTTCATGACTGGACTTCATGAGTTTCCGTCTTGGAATCTGACTGTAAGATGACAGGAAAAGGATCACGTGAACACGTATCCACTTCCAGGAGAGAGGGAGGGTGTGGTTCCATAATTCATTCAAACGTGGCAGCAGCCGCTGTTTTGGTGGATATTGTCGCCTTGAGACCTCTGTAATCATTTCTTTGCTCAGCCAAAAAAAACAGGATGACAGCTGTCTTAGATGGAAATATTCCACGAAAAACGCGTCCTACGCTATGTTCAGATGAAATACGGACCCACGCCCTCCATTTCGCTTGGATATGGACGGCAAAACACGCGCTTTGCTCTCGCATGACTTCTATGGCTGTCCGATCACGACGTCTAATAACTAGCGCCAAACGTAGCAAAAATCGTCGCTGAACCATCCAAATTCGTCAGAGGTCTTTGTGAAATAGGATAGGGCAAGCGACAAAGCTATTTGTCCGTCTTCGCCTTAGAAAAGTAGTATGAGCATTTCCGAGAACGTAACCATAGAGCCGTCTCTATTAGCAAGCAGCATTTTCGAGAAGGGAAGCCCATGCGAGTCTACAGACTATCTCTGCAAGAGAAAGAAAGCCAGCAGTGTTATTTTAAATTTATCCGGCAACTAATGTTGACAGAACTTCCCGTTTAGTCCCCCACAATAAAAAACATGTCTTGGGGACAGTTTCTGGCATACGGTAGTCGTGAAATAGTGCGGAATACACTCCCAGCTTGTTGGTGCCAGCCGGGTGTCCGATCGACCACATTGTCACGAAAACTATTCTCTTAGCTTCTACTCTGCTGATGTTTTTTGGAAAATTTCCCGTTATTCTTGTGTTTCCGATATTTTGTGGAACAGTTTGTCATCCGTAGCAGATACATAACCGCACAGCGCAGAGCTTCCAAGGAAACGAGTACGAATGGCGCATTCTGACTTACGTTATCTTAGCAGTTCTGAGTAAGATGCTGGTTGCAAGACCTATGTTTTTGTAATTCTAAATGCATCGCAGGGTTCGGTTCTGTGGTCAGAACGTTTGTCAAGTTGTTAGTATACCGACATCTCAAATGAGTTATGTACGAGGTTGGTAGCTTATGACGGTTTTGTGGTGTTGCAGTTTTATTTTGCACATTGAAAATCGTTCGGTTAAACTTTCTACGCTCATATGGTCTTGGTGGAATGAGACATCTTTTTATTTCAATTCGAGATTTTTTCTGGGAGATTTCGCCTTTCTACTGGCTTCCACGTTTTGTTTTGTCGATCAAACAGATCAGTCAAATTGATAATCAATGTGTGAGATATAACTGCGGTATGTTCAATTGTTCCACGTTTTTGCTAGAACTGGTCTCTAAACCGAACGTCGTTCTTTTTGCCTCTTCTGACTCATCGTATGGCAAACGTATTGTGTTTACAATGGTAATAATCCCAATTAAGAGTATTTTCCTTCCAGGACCAATCCATTTTCCGTATATGTTGTGTTAATTTGCTGACGAAAGCAAGGTGCTGGGAATGATTGTGGATTTGGTGAGTGCTGCTCGACAAGCAGATTGGGATCGAGCTCGCGAACTCCTTTATCATCACTGGGGCTCGGAATGTCCAAAGCTGTATGCGCCCAATCCTGAACATCCTTGGGAAGTTGCTCAAGATGACAAAGATATTAGTGAGTTTAAAACATTGATTGTTATTTCAAATCTTGGTACTATTCAGCTATAGCTACCCCAAAAACTCGAAAGAAATACCTGTATATGCCTATACGGTTATTCGATGCCCTAGTCCTCAGTACGTTCGTTTTTAATGCCTTGTCAACACTTTTCTCACAAAAATAGGTCTAAACTAGCATACTGAACTTATGTGCCCTAATCACGAACATGACATTCAATTTTAGCCCTAGCGCTAGGTGCCCATTTGGTGCTGCAACTTCTTCACCAAAATCGGTGATAACTTGCATAATGGGCTTGTTTGATGCTCTCGAATATGGCATGCATTCTTCGATTCGACCTGTGCTAAGGCTGAGCTTGAAGGGCCTTAAGGAAATCACCCTTGGGAAAAAGGGTGATTCCCTTAAGGCCAGGCTCAACCTCAACAGAGATAATCGTAGTGTCCCCCATTAGAGGCGGCGCCAAAGGTACATGTCAAATTGTTGATCAGGATAAGGAATAACCCCCACATACAAGTTTCAAGTTCAGTTCCAAGTTTGGTTAGTAGGTCTTGGTGACTCAAGGTATTTTGGCGCCGAGCCCGTGGCACAGGCAGTTTCAAGTCAAGAGGATGTGACCATACTCGAGGTCGAATTGCCCTGGAAACAAACCTTCAGCCAAAACTGCCTTCGTAGAAAAAAGTCGGTAGAGCGCGTTCAGACTTCGCGATCGCGCGATCGGATCGCTTGGATCGCGCGATCCGATCGCGCTACTGTGGGTGAAATTCACACCGGGAGGGAGGGGTCATGTTTGTTATTGTTTATTGTTATATGTTTATTGTTCCTGTTCACTTTTTCTTTTCCTTCTTTCTTCCTTTGTGTTCATAACGCCTTCTTATTTTAAGGAACGTTTCGAAATAGTTTTGAGTTGTATTCCCTCTCAACTTTTTTTTCAGATTCGGATTCTACAATGTCGTGGATGCTGGTTTTTTTTACCAACCTAAAAAATCATCGGGTAAGTCTTGCTTTTATTTCTACTTTGGTATTTCTCCTATTTCGTATTTTTTTGACGCAGTTGCCCAAGTTTTAAGAAGTGGTTCGGTTATGCGTATTTCCTTTTCATTCGTATTTTTCAGATTTTGATTCGCAGCCTCTTTTGTTTTATGGAGGAATTTCATTGAGGTGACTATTGCCTTTAGTTCATTGCAAATTTTCTCTTCTTCGTATTTTTGGATTTGCCGTTTCCAGATTTCGTATGCGCAGTCTTTGAATTGGGGGAAGGCGTCTGCCATGTGCGCTTCAAGCTTTTCTCACAATGATCTACTTTTGTTGTTGGATTTCTGAATATCTGTGGAACACAAATAAAGATGCCTTTGTGTATTTTGATAAACAACAACAACTGTACCAAGAGGACCAACAAGAAGCAAACAGGCAGTGTTAACCACACGACAAGGAGGCTATACAGTCCCCAGAACCATATATAAGGATTCGGGCAATGCAGATGTGATATTCGTGTTCAAGAGGTCGTAGTACCCCTAAAAGCAAGTTTTCAGCCAAATATGCCCGTGTGAAAAAAGTCGGTAAAAACCGGTAAAAGTCGGTATACTTCATTTCGGCAGACTAGGGGATAGTTCAGTGTATAACCGGGTTCCAGTGGAACTCATCAAAAATAGTCCGCGCTTCGGCCAGTACTTCTCATGACATTGCAGTGGAGTCTTTAGACATTACTGAGGCTTTTTGTTGAAGCATTTCCGATGAAAATGTCACGAGACTTCCCCGAAAACTGAATAGATTGGTAGAACAGAATGGTTGTGCACGTTTTCTCCGTCACAGTCACGCATTCATTCCCTGATTATTATCCACTTCCTAATATATGGTTCTGGGGACTGTATAGCCTCCTTGTCGTGTGGTTAACACTGCCTGTTTGCTTCTTGTTGGTCCTCTTGGTACAGTTGTTGTTGTTTATCAAAATACACAAAGGCATCTTTATTTGTGTTCCACAGATATTCAGAAATCCAACAACAAAAGTAGATCATTGTGAGAAAAGCTTGAAGCGCACATGGCAGACGCCTTCCCCAATTCAAAGACTGCGCATACGAAATCTTGGCAAATCCAAAAATACGAAAAGAAGAGGAAAATTTGCAATGAACTAAAGGCAATAGTCACCTCAACGAAATTCCTCCATGAAACAGAATTTGAAAAATACGAATAAAAGGAAATACGCAAATCAGAATTTGAAAAATACGAATGAAAAGGAAATACGCATAACGGAACCACTTCTTAAAACTTGGGCAACTGCGAGTCAAAAAAATACGAAATAGGAGAAATACCAAAGTAGAAATAAAAGCAAGACTTACCCGATGATTTTTTAGGTTAGGTAAAAAACCAGCATCCACGACATTGTAGAATCCGAATCTGAAAAAAAGTTGAGAGGGAATACAAAAAAACACAACTCAAAGCTATTTCGAAACGTTCCTTAAAATTAAGAAGGCGTTATGAACACAAAGGAAGGAAGAAGGAAAAGAAAAAGTGAACAGGAACAAACATACAACAATAAACATGAACAAACATGACCCCTCCCTCCCGGTGTGAATTTCACCCACAGTAGCGCGATCGGATCGCGCGATCCAAGCGATCGCGAAGTCTGAACGCGCTCTAAAAAACAGGCCGGATTTCGGAAGGCTGGGGCAGTAATAGTTGAATAGTGCCCAAAGCTTTTTGCTGTTATTTGTAAAACTTCTACTGGAGCAAGTCGGCAGAAGACCGTGCATTTGAGGGACCTCCTGTGCAAAACTGGAGTTGGATTAGTTTGGAGAGAGGGGAGCTCCAAGATTTGTTCACCAACTTACTCGTGTAGGAGCAGGGTTTCGCAGAAAATGGTAGTCTCAGCCCTGCGCAAGGAGTCGCTGCTCCTCCGACTTGCTCCCCTCTAGTATTTGTGCTACTAGGTCTACCTTAATCTTTGCAACTCTTCAACTCGTCAAGTTTTTTTTCTCAGATTCGGCACTGTTCGTTCCGCTAGCAGGCGCATTCTGTGCAAACTCCTCAGTGACTGACTCTTCCCTACGGCCTCTTATCGAACAAGCTGGTCTTTCCTCTGAAAGGCGTCGGCCAGGTCAAATATGTGGTCATGTTTTCAAGAGCGGCGAACTCACATACAGCTGCAAGTAAGTTTTTGCTGGTTTTCTGACGACGATTCGCATCACTTTTCCGGATAACGCTTCTTATAGTTTTCTTTATTGCCATAAATTGTTCCAGGGACTGCGCAACTGACGCCACATGTGTTATGTGTCATGAATGTTTTCATTTATCAGAGCACAAAGCTCATAAATACAAGGTTTGTCCACTATTTATGATGCTTGCTGATTGTTTATATTACTTGGTGTTCACAAAGTATTAGGCATAAAGGCATTGAACTAGTCGATAAAGCTCTGAAAATTGAGATAAGGTTTGGTTGGGCCTTGTTCCTACGCAACGTGGAACTGAAGAATCGCAAAATTGCAAAGATTTGCGAGAAGGACCATGTAGTTATGAATCGATTTCGTCAGGTTTTCCACCTGAGTGGGGAAGCTAGATCGATTCATATATACATTTCGCCGATTCCTGTCTGTTCAGGGCTGTCCTGCCGCTGGGGAAAGCTTTCGGAAAATACGGCCCCTCACAATTTCGTCCTCAGCTACGACCACCTACCTCACTTCCCCATCCTCCAACTTCTCCTAGCCTCCTACCACACTTCCCGAGATTTCTCAAAAATTTTGTATATAGCACCAGTAAAACAGGAGAAACCGCGAAAAGTAGTGGCAACAGCCGAATTTTGTCGTTCGCAACGCGGCAAATTCCTCCCAAATGCAACTACGCCACTCCCCCTCTTTGGAGTCTTCCCATGAAAATAAAAATATGTGAGTAGCTTCCGTGACCTCGGACAAATACAACCCCAGTCCATCCAGCGACCATTTACGACCCACCCACACACTCTCCTTCCCCCGCCGCTGAAGGTTCCCCAACGCAGCGTGTGTCTTGATCCCCCAAGAACCGAAACCAAGGAAAAGCGCGTCTAACGATGAGGTTAGATTTCTGCCTACTCTTTGACGCCAGTCTGGCCAATTTCTTCAGTTCAATCGATTCTTCCACTCTACAGAAGCGTTGTGGTCTTAAGAGATATCAGTAGTGAAGCCATCCCTTCATTAATACCATCAATGAGCTCTAAAACAGATCATTTAACTGAACAGCAATTTGCTCAGTGCTCCGAAGCCTGCTTTCGAAATTTATGCCTGCCCCTTATGCAAGTGTTATTGCATGACGAGCATGTTCAGGATTGCCGAGTTTTTTTTTGCAATTTTTTTTAAGTTTCGGGTATATTCTACACACTTTTGAAAGCTTTGTTTAGATGCACACATCCACGGGTGCCGGTTACTGTGACTGCGGCGACAAGGATGCCTGGAGAAGCGGCTATGCATGTAAGATACACGAAAATGACGAGAGCATGTAGGTTTTGATCCTACTCCCTCATCTCATTCATCTCATTCTTAGTTCTATTTTGTTTTATACTTTATGTTCTATCCACCGCATTATGGCTCACGTTCCAGCACTGTCCCGTTCTCACTACCAGAATCTCTCGAAATGAGACTCCGTGGTCTGGCATGCCTCATTCTTCAGTATTCGACAAAATTGATATGCTGGGAGAAAGCTGACGTTCTGCCAATTAACCTGACGATGTGAGAACCTTCATTCTGAGATTGCTCATAATATGATGTTCCTTATCATAACTATTTTAGGGTGCAAATGGAAAAGCCAGAAGTGCCAAGTATCGCTCCTTATGTTACCGTTTTGTATAATGACGAGACACATACTTATGAAACGGTGACATAATTATTTGAGGCTGATGTGTTCAAATTTTGAAGGGCAGAGTTAAGGTCATTAGAGCGTTGGAAATGTTCATAAATTGTACCAAAGATCAAGCAATGTTGATTGCTACAATAGTTGATCGAGAAGGTCGAAGTTCGGTGAAGGTTGGACCCAAAGTTGACTGCGAGCGAGTCAAATCCGATATTCAGGTAAGTTAAAGTTAATCTGTCGGATAGTTGCACTGTAGTTCGCTGCGGACGGTTGGGCGTGTCAGGCTGAGTGTGTCACCCGTCAAAGCCGTTCTCTGCCTTCTTGTTGAAGCGCGCATGCGACAAAAAGTGGTAGGAAACGAGTAATACGTATCATAACGAGGAACGATGTGATACAGTAATATCATTTGCTCGCTTTAACAACTGATGGAGAAAGGGTTTGGCACCGCGCCAGAATCATCCCCCCCCCCCCCCCACCTGACACATTTTGTAATTCTTTGGTTCTTTCCCCCAGTCCGCCCGGCCCTTCCGTTTCGGCGCAGGGTCCTGCACACGCCCAACCGTCCGCAGCGAAATACACTATATATCAGCGAAAGTGATTTTTATTCTTGATATACCACGTTTTTTTAGCGGCGCACCCTTCGAGACGTGAATAGGCGGACTGAAAAGGCTGGTCCTCTTGATGTGAAAGTAATGGACGGTGCTTTGGTGGCTCATCAAAATCATGCCATCGCGCTACTTGCTTGGCTGAACTCACAGATAGATTCTTTTCGTAAGTACCATCTTGAGCTCCATTTTTGTTGTTGGATAAAATTTATCAAGGTTTATCTCGTATTCCAAAGCAGTATGCATTTGGAGTATACATTCTCCCAAAAATCAATAACGAAATGCTAATATGCGCTGATACGGCCATCGAAATTCTCACGAAATCGAATGATGATTCCTGACGTCAAGGCTCATTAAGATCTATTTGGCTGGAAGCTTCTGTCTAGCTGAACATTCCAGGCACTTTGGATTATCAGGGACTGCAATGCAGTGACCTTTTTTCAGCTATTCTCGGTACCATCGTTGGGGATATATTGCTGAACACAATGGTTGAAAAGGACGATGATGAACTGGAAGCCCAGGAAACGATACTCGTTCGACTCCTGCGATTCGACAAAAAGATGTGGAAATGTCAGCAATTTTCGCGTTTTCTCACTTCTTTACTTGCCGTGCTTTTACAAGTGCTTGTATTCGCTCTAACCATAAGTATGATGGAACATTCCGAGGGTTTCACTGAGTAACTTGAGTTCTAGACCCTTCGCTGAGGATGCGAAGGGTTGTATTTTATCGGCGGAGAGAGGGCGAGAGTCATACAACCAGGAAGTTTTTTTGGGAGAAAATCATTTTCGGTGGTTGATTTTTTCTGTTTCACGTGCGCTGTCCGCATTGTTGTGAGAGTCCCCTCTGGGCGGGGATCGTAGTTGCTTGTCGCTTCGAGGGAAGAGGATGGGTGTTCGGGTCGTAGGGGTCGTAGGTGGCGTTGCTGACTTATTCGCGGCTTCCCCCCCCCCCCCTTCTCTCCAGCGAAACCTTTGTAAGATGGTAGTCGGGAAGAAGGTCGTGTGAGAGGGCGGGCCTAAGGAGGAGAGCCACATACAATTAACGAAAATGGTTAGCCTGTTGTAATCAGTTCAAAAATATAAATGTTGTAGCTGCGCGTGCCAATACTCACCAAATGCTTATGAAGACCGTACTCATGAACTTTGAGCAAAAAGTATTCTTCTCAAAAACGTTTCTCGAGGTTAGTCATTCATTTTCCCCGGGTATTTTTTTATTTTCTCATATTTGCCCTTTTTCAGCACTATGATGATATTTACGCGGAGTTCATAGATGATGATCATGACATCGATATTTCCGTAGTCAGTCTTACCGTGCAATTTTTGACGGTTCCCAGTATAGCGAGGTACTTCCAATTTTCGCTTTCCACTGTTAGTTCTTCATTCTATTTATGATTTAGGCGATTAATTGCCGAAGATGGTGCCATGCGGACTGTGTTCACAACACTTATGAAGCACACCGATAAATTCACTAAAGGTTTCTTTTCTGATTTTATCATTTCCAGATTAAGTTTTTGAGTTTACTAATACTTCTACCCTTTAGAAGCACCGAATGATTTGTCTCGTTTCGACTTTGCTAAGCACTCATTTCCCGTTACTGTGAGGAGGGGAATTCACATGATGCGTGATCTTGCGTAAGTTATGTTAAAAGCAGGTTTTGTCATGGTTTAAATGCACATTTTGCTATTAGCCGTCGAGAACGTCAAAGTGGCAAGATTGAAAATAGAAATACATGTGTTGATGGACATTCTTGTGAAGAAAAGACTAGAGGGGATCGTAAAACGCCCTTAATAAGTTCCTCCTCGGCCTATGTGGGAAGCGGAGATTCGTCGGAAATGTAGGTGAGAGATGAGACAAGGGGAGCGAAAGGGCGGATAAAGCGAGTGAAACGACAAACACCGGTTTGGCTCGGAGTTACTTGAGCAATTTTGTATCTCAACCAGGACACAACGTACGTTGTGGATAGTCAGCGATGGAGTCGTATTTGGTCGCAGGAGACAAGGAGAAGGGGACATTTCTCTTTGTGAAAGTGTTCGCGGGTTTCGACTTTATTCGGTTTTTCTCGTTTCAGATGCATTACGTCCCCTTTTTCTTAGCGCAATGGCAGTTCCTTGGAATTTTGGGGGTAGTGTGTTTTGCGAAAATCCTTAAACGGCAGGACGTGCCCTGACTTTGAGTCTACCATCTTGCGGAACTGGCACCCTCTTTTTCCGGCAGACGATATTTCTCCCTCAATACACAGACTATTGCTCCTGGTAGTAGTCGGGATTCACTTCGAAAACTGATCGAGCTATGCTTTTGTTCGTTCATTGATTTGGGTTTCTTCGTTTTATTGCAGTAAGTACCTAATTGTCTTCAGGTATATCTTAACCTGTGTTCCTTCTCATGCGGACTGGACAGATCAGTTGAGGGAACGATTTTTGGAAGGATGCCAATCTTTAATACAATTTTTGCATCGCATGCAGGTACTGCTGTCTTCCGTTTTTTTTTCACACCGATTCTGATGCAACGACTTTTTGTCAGTCACATGAATGTGTGAATTTAATGCATCATATGGCGGCATTAGGTTGCTGGGAGATAGGTGCGTGAGAGCCAACCAATTCCCAAGAGAATTTGTTTACGGCACCGAAGATTCTGAAATTTCTCAGGGGGTCTACAGCATCCGTTCTTCTCTGGATAGCTTTAGTTCGAGGTGTTTCGAAACAAGGTCGGTATGGTTGAAAGTCAAAGATAACGGATGTCTAAAAACAATGTGTTTAGTGTCTGCGATATAGGTGTAATGTGATCGAGCATTGTTGTGTAGAAGATCAGTTTGAGGACTCTTATAGAGCAGAGAAATCTGCACGTTCTCGCCGACAGTTCAGAAGCTTTGAAACACACTTTTTCGCTCTAGACCGCTCTTTCGCTTTGCTGTTGGTTGCGATCGTAACCGCACTCATTGCGTTGAAAGGCGCACCTAATAGTCTCGCAGTCACGTCTGTTATTTTGCCTCCGACCTGTAGCTCTTAATTCTAGGGAATGGATGAGGTGAAGCGTCTCTCCGTGGAGCATCAGGTGTGGGAACTGGAGTGGGAAACTGCTTTCAACATTCAACTACGCATACAGGATAGCCTCGGATACGTTATAGCTTGGGCAGGATCTGATGTAAGCATATGATCCTCTCTAATTACATAATGTTTTATTACTAGGTTTGTGCAATATGCCTGCTGTTTTTGGCATAAATACTATTGCTTTTCAGCGCGCAGTTCATCGTGCGTTCCTACGCCTTTGCCTTGATGCACTTCTGCTTCACCCTCCTTCATGCTTGGAAGAACCGGCAGGGGCTACTCATACCGTTGTTGATAGTACGTTCAATCACCCGACAATTCTCCCCCTTTGAGTGGTTTATTGCGATTTCATTCGTTAACGCTTTTCAGTTAACGGAGAATCGACTGTCATAAGTCCGTTTGACGTCCTTCGTGGTGCGGTTTCCATCCACCAACCGTTATGGCGTCTAACTGCAGGACTATTCACTGTTAGTAGCGATCTGTTGCATTTCCTATTGGTTCCTGAATCCAATGATTTCACAAATGATGAGAAATACATCCGTCAGCAAATGAGAAAAATGGCAACTATACTGTATGAGATGCCTCTCAGGTAAACCGTTAGCATTGTTCTCATCTTACATGATTTGTAAGTGCTACCTTCAGGGCTCTCGTTTTGTGTGCTCAAGCTTCCGCCCAGCTATGGCGTCGCAATGGATTCTCTCTAGTGAATCAAATTCACAATTATTACTCACCTCTCTGTCGAACGGAAATGTTCGACAGAGACTTGTTGATGATGCAGGTTTGAATACACATTACAAATTCTTGAGTTATGAGCCGTAGTGTATACGTTATGTTCCTCTTGGACATTTACCGAAAGAAATAATGGCGTCCTCATAGAAAAAGCCTTGTTGGAGAATCGTCTGTGTGGCACAATCGCGGAAATAGGGGGACCCGCTGTTGGCCTATGTAATAGACGGTTCTCGCTCAGAACGCGTTCCAACGTCAGATTGATATCTGTACTTTCTTTCTCGCTCGGAACGTTTGCGTTTTTCTCAAAGTGCTCAGCAAGCTCGAAACGCGAACAAGTATATAGTTAATCGTCGCTTTAACGCTTCATATCCCTAGAAAGTGGTATGTGGATTGTGCAATAGTGTGGTAGCGGTGTAGTGCGGTGGAAAACTACGCTGTAAGTGTGAAACAGAATTGCTTTGTGATTGGGTCTCTCTGATCGCGCGCGCGCGATTATAGCGCATTCCATGTTACAAGCGATGAATAATGGCGCGAAGCCAACGAACGATAGTTGAAGAGATAGAAGCTACAACAAACTAAACTAATATAAGCGAATCGTGAATCAAGACAAGTGTGAAACAGAATTACTGGATTTTCTGTGGGAATCCAAACTGGGTTAACAGAATGGGTTGTCAAGGTGTGTTGAAATGATCGCTATTTATGGTCATATGAGAAATCATCTCAATAGAAGATAGTTCCTTGGAAAATGAAGCGAGGATAGATTGAGGGAGAGCGAGAAAAAGCAACAGGAGGTAAAACATAATGACGGGTGAAGGGAGAAAAAGAAGAAAAGACTGTGAAAGTTTAACTGGCCAATACCTTTTTGAGAGTTTCACTCGCATAATAAACAATTGAGTTTTTTCTATTAGGTTGGAGCCGCTATCCGCCCACCGACTGATTTTCTGCTGCACATCATATGCCGGTTCCGACTAGTCCAGTGGGCTGATCAGTCTGGTGATGGCGGATCGAAACATTCCACACCGTTCGGAAAAATGGAACCCGAAGAAACTGGGAAAATCATCGTCATACTAGCAGAAGAAATGCTGCATTTGCTGATCATGATACTTGGTTAGTATTATTTTACCGTCGAAAATCAGCACTGCTCTTTGAAATTTATCACAACGAGCACAGGAGAACGATACCATCCTGGTGTGGGAAGGTGCACGTTTACGGAGCAAGTACAGCGTGAAGTCATCCATGTGCTTTGTACCGGACCACAACCTTTCAGTCATGTGGGTCGTTTGGTACCACTTTCCTCATAATCCCAATAATCCCAACTAGTTTATTATTTCAGATCCAAAAGAGGATGTCTCATGATCCTATGGTGGAGCGCATATCGTTGCATGAAGTCGTCAACACTGTCGCGAACTTTGTGTGAGTATATTGGAAGTTATCGGAGTGGTTTTGAACTTATGTGCCTATACGCTGCAACAAAAAGCGTCAGAGTAAGGAGGGAGCGATAAGTAGTTATATTAGAGAGTAATCGAGTTTTACAAATAGGGAAAACTCTAGCTCCTACCGATATTCTTTCTCAATCCTGTTCGGTCGTGTCTTCTTTCTAAGTCGGTTACGTTCAGCAAACCAACGACAACCTCCGCTGGACAGTTTTATCTGAAGGAGTCATTACTCACTGAATACAATCCCTTCTTCTATCACTACTCGAAAAGCGATCTTTCGCAGGCCGAACAATACCAGCAAAAAATACGCTCAAAGCTTGATCGGTATGATTCGTACAACGATTTCTTATCGTTTTAAGCATTTCCCTTTGAAGGAATGAAAATAAAGATGAACATTCGATTTCAGGAAGCTACAAGCGTGTCCACCGCCCATGCCTGTTGGAGTTTGAACCATTCTTCGCTTCAGTTCGAAACATATTGAAGACTCCATGTCTAATCAAAATTCTGAAACTGGTTCTGGATAGAACAGGAAAACGGAGTCGCTTTTCGAGTGATCGTCTTTTCCATCGGGTTTGTGAAACTGAATTCCTTTGTTCATTTTATTGGTGTGAAACTTGTCACTTGTTTTGAACACCTATCTTTCAACCCTGCAGAAGAGCTTGAACATTTGTAATCAAAATAGAAAATTATGAAAAATGGGTTCGAAACTTTCTGATATTCCCTGTCTTGTCCCTTTCCTGACCTGAAATTTCTAGGCATTGTTTTGATGATCGGTATGGGTCTGCAAGAGCAAGCACGGGATCCCAAACGTTTCAACTTCACTGAAGTAGCAGAAAAAGAAGAGATTCTCCATTCGCTGGATTCTCTTTCTGGTTCAGCTGAAGTTGCCACTCATGCGGACCTACTTTGGTGGACCATACAGGTAGGTTTAAAGCCTTCGGGCGTAGCATAACTACTGTTAATACTTTGGTTCAAATTCTGCTGCTTCAGAAGTACAAAGAAGTTCAACGTCTCTCCACAACTGGGCAAACAACGGAGAGGCGTGGTGAGGTGATAGATAGCCAAGAAAATCCCAACGATGCAAAGCAAAGCGAGCTGCTCGGGCGGCGAAGATGCGTGAACAAGCGATGTTAAAGGTTCCTGTTTTATTATATTATCTCGCCAGAATAGTACATATAGCTTTTTAGATGTCAAAGATGCAAAAATCTTTTCTGAAAGTCCTTGGAAACAGAGAGTCCATCTTTGGCGGAACCAGTTGCCAATGAGGGTGCATTGAGTGAATTTCGTGGCGATGATGATGAAGATTTTGTGAGGTGGGTCCAGGTAATCTAAGGTAACCTTTAGTGTGGTTGCTAGACAAGAATCCTCCTACCAAAAATGTGGTAGAAAGGTAGTCGGAAAAAATTTTCATCAAAGCCATAGCAAAATTTGAGCTCAAGGTCGTAGAACATTTTATTGGCTTTAACGGTTTTCGTAGTCACCGCTCAACGATGTGGTTTATACAACAGCGGCTCGCTCCTTTACAAATCATTTTCGAATTTTTTTTTTTGTATCTGGGATCTCAAGTCATTGTTTCCATTTCTTTTTATCTCATCTATCCTTTTCTATTGTTGATTTTCAGCAAGCAACAAGACCACGGTTTCCCTGTTTGTTTGGGTCCACAGAGAAGTCGTGTGGAGGAAGTGTTGCCACGAAAAGTGACTTGCATACTTTGTCAAGAAGAAGAGACACTTTCTCCTGATAACGGAAGATGTGGGTCTGTTGCCTGCATTACGCTGGCAAAAGTACGCTTTCGGATTTGTATTTGAATAGGCTCTTTTATTTTTGCTGTCACAGACGGTTCAAGTCAGGGCACATCCTGCCGTTGGGAAAAAGTTTGCAGTTTACGGCCCCCACTCTCGGAATTTTCTCCTCTGCTACGACCCCTTTTCCTATTCCCCCATTTTATTAGGTTGTCCGGAAAGTTCTCAGCAGCATGGAGGCCTTTTTTGCCTGGTCCTGATTGATGAAGTGTTTTCCACAAGGAAGTTTTGAGAATGTCTGAAAAGGTGATAGTCGGTTGGAGAAAGGTCTGGAGAATATGGCGGGTGAGCTAGAACTTCAACCTCCAATTTGTTCAATGATGGATAGTTGACTTGTGAAACGTGTGGGTGGGCATTGTCATACAGAAGAATCGGGCCTATTCTGCTGACAGGTGCTGGCTGCAGCTGACGCAGTTTTCGGTACATTTCGTCGATTTCTTCACAGGGAGGACTCTTCTGCTGTGATGGTTTGGCCTGGCGACAAAAAGTTATAGTGGATCACAAAAGTCGATGGCCACCACACTGTGACCATAATCTTTTTTTCGTGAGGATTCGGCTTTGGAAATTGCCTCGGTGGTTCGTCGGCATCCAACCACTGTCCGTAACGTCTCCTGTTATCATACATGATCCACTTTTCATCACAGGTGACAATTCGGTCCAAAAACGGGTCGTTTCTGTTGCGCAAAAGCAGTGAAGAGGAAACCTCGAGACGTGCCAGTTCCTGCCGGTCACTCACTTGTGGGTCACCCACTTATCGAGTTTTTTCACCTTCCCAATGCGTTTCAGAGACCATCTGGCCCCCAACACTCCGATTGCGAGCCTAGCCGTTTCTGCACAATCTACTTGAACTGTTTGGGATGGGTCCCCTCCACAAACGCCTTCAAATCCTCGTCAGGTATTGCTTTAGGTCGACCGCTACGAAGTTCATCTTCAAGGCTGAAATCTCCAGAACGAAATTTGTCGAACCATTGCGGTGCTTTCTTCAGCACTATTGGGCCTTCCCACACTGGTTAATTTGCTTCTAGCCTTTTTTCGATAATTGCGGATTGCCCAATTATCAGTCGAAGAAAAAAAATCGTCCGAAGTGCTCTTTTCACATGCTTGAAAAAGTCTTGGGAAAAGGGGGTTTACCAAGCAATGGTGAAGGCAATTAAACCATCAGATAGCGCAAAGAATTCTCTTCAGGATGTACTATGAGCCGCAAGGGAGAATGAGTTTTTAATCAGCAATGAATGTACAAAAAAT